AAAAAAGCCATGTCCGTTTTATACAATAAAGTAGGCTTTTCTCACTTCTCATGCATCCACATCAGCATTTGTGAGGGGGGCAAAAAAAGTCATGTCCGCAATAACCTAAACCAAATTGATCGAACAAAATTTATCTCTCCCGTTTCGGTTTCTAAAAACAATTTGGGCCTCTACCACACAAAATAGCCAGCCCAACAACCAAAAAACCGACAAATATAAAACCAATTGAAACCGAAACGGGAGAGATAAATTTTGTTCGGTCAATTTGGTTTAGGTTATTGCTGACATGGCTTTTTTTGCCCCCCTCACAAATGCTGACGTGGATGCATGAGAAGGGAGAAAAACCTACTTTATTGTATAAGATATGATTCGACAAGAGATTGATTTTCTCTCCATTGATGGACTTATCTAGTTTTTTTGTCTCAGGATTTATATCTATTTATTTATACAAGATGAAATCCTTCAAAGATCCAAGAAAAGGAAATTATTCATATATAATTTTCTATTTATTTGAATAACAACTTTAGTCTCTTGCTAGGTACTCCCTCTTTTTCAGAATACTTGTCATTTCAGACTTAATTTTTTGTCACAAATTAGGTGTCGTTTTAGAGTTCGAGGCAAAATTTATTAGTTTTATATAATATTATATTTTCTATTAGTTGGAAATGGTTAAGTGTATAAGTAATTGTATTTTTATCTTGAAAACATGTAAAATTAAATGTTTCTTTAATCTGTGTGCAAGAACCTTGAATGACAACTAAAGTGAAATGGAGGAAGTAATAATCTACGTCTTACGCGGAATGTGCTTATTAGTTTCATTATTTTTCAATAACGATACATTAAATTTGTTTAATCTGGATATCGGTTCGATTTTAGTTTTTTTTTTCTTTTTGTTTTTAATCTCCTCAAATATAACTATTATTCTAAATCAATATTTATTTTTGTTTTTTCGGTAAAAATGTTTGATATATTTTTTCTGGTGATAACCAAAAATTATTATTAATTATTTCGTTTTATGTTATATGAGTTTTAGATAGTCTTGATGTCGAACCAATGATTTCATATTATAGTTTCTAAATGAATAATATTTAAGGAAAAAGAAAAGAAAAGTATTAATACAAACTATTTCATTACAATTTGGTCGATAATGAAATCAGCATTAAAAAATACTATTTCTATTTTCAAGAGAATTAGATACTTTAATTGTGGTGAATATTTAATTATATAAGTGCTCACGTCAATGTGCACATGTATATGTATGTAAAGATATATAAAAATGACTGATAAATTTAAAGATATTGTTAACCAATATTAAATAACATCTCTGTTCAAAATAATAGATGAAAGATAAGTTTAAAAAAAATAAAATTAATTAAAAATAAAATTGTTTTAGACATGAGTGTTATTTTTCATATAAAGAAAATCAAACTATATCTATAAATAAAAGTTGGCAAATATTCAACTATTTGAAAGTATTTATGTCAGATTCGATACGTAGCCATCATGATATTTAGCGTCTCGGATATCCAGAAATATAAGAATTTTAATAGATATATGATTTGATCCGTAAAGAAAATAAATAAAAAATTTAAAATAAATGAAATTTTTTAAAATAATATTAAAAAATTTAAATTCTAATACCTTATATAGTAACATGATATATATAACTTATATATATATATATATAATTCTTTATATATATGTATATATATGCATATAACGTATCAATTTCTAAAACTATTAGTATTTGTAATTTGTTTTATTTTTATGGATATTATATTTTAGTATTTGATTTGCTTCGTAGAGTTATAAATATCGGATTTTTTTCGTCTCGAATTAAAACGATAACTAACGAATCGAATCAAAATTTACAAATATTTGGAAGACGTTGGTCACAGCGAGAGTGTGAGAGATATGATGGAACAGTACTACGTAGGGGAGATTGATCTGATATATCATGAATTTTACCCGTTTTCAGCCATGATTTATATATGTTTTTGGAAACAAAAGGATACTTTTAGTGTCTTTTTAGAGCTTTTACAGATTCAGGTACTCACTTGTGTAAAACATGCATTTTGGAGCTAAAATGGAGACTTTATGAAGATATGAGCAAAAAAATGTTTAAGCTATCGACCGACGCACGTCGAGAGCAATCGACCGATAGATAATTACCCGTATCGATCGATAATGGCGTTTTGCATCGATCGATACATAAGTTATCCAAGCGATTAAATGAAGATTAGAAGCCCTAATTGCTTCACAAGAGTTTTAATAATTTACACACTAAGTCCCTGACCGCCTGTTAGGCTATATTAAGAGGGTTTTGTACTAGTTTAGGTAGACAACTTTGGAGACCTTTAGACCTAATTTGGAGAAGCATCTAGCTACATTTTGAGAGGAGTTTTGATGGAGAGAGAGATATGAACTACCATTACAGAGAAGATCTTGAACTCCCTTTTCACTTTTTGTTTCTTTTTATTATTATCTTAAAGTATTATTCAGACCATCATGACTTTGTCTCTCATGAATATGTTTGAGTAGTCTCTCTTGTTAGATTTAGGTTTCTCATTAAGGTTGACTCATGCATTGAATTGAACCATTATTAGGGTGTTTAAAATATAGTTCTCAATCTAGTTATCAATGAATGCTAAGATCAAGGATTGATCACCCTTGTCTCTGATTTTAGGATCAATTTGGACAAACGATAGCTTGGAAAATACCCTAAGTCTAAGTTAATTTAAATGAAAACTAGATAATCCATTCAAACACACCTTTACCACTCGCTGGATGCGATGTCAATCGACGAGACGATAGTCGTGTTGACCGATATAGCGGTATTTACATCGATCGATAGTTTTGACAGAAACATCGATCGATATCACCTTCAGGTTATCGGACGATAGTCCTAACCCGAAATCATGTGGAGTTAATCCTTAATTTCCTTAAGTGTTTGAATCCAGAACTATGAATAATAAAAACCCTTTACAGTTTGCATGCATGTCATACCTGAGAAAATACCTAAGTTTAACTATCTTCTTCCTTCTTAACAAACCAATCAATCAATTAAGCATTTACTTGCTATCTTTTAAGTTATTGTTTAAAATTTTATTGTCTAGCTCTATTTCGAAGACTTAATAATCTGTTGTGTAATTTTAGAGTCTTTGTGGATTCGATCCCTAAGTACTATGATTGAACCTCTTATTTAAGAGAGTAATTCACTCCTTAAGGTTAAACATTTGAGTGATATCATGATCCAACGACAATCCCAAAGAAAACCAAATACACACCTCCTAAACACCCTCACTATAATCAAGAAAAGACCTCTGAGTTCATTATCAAGATCCTCCAGTTCCTTGTACCACTTGTCATTCTTGGTTTAGCAATTGGGATTCGTATTTACACAAAATCAGGGTAGTCTTCTTCTCTTTTTAGCAATACTCCTACATAGCTTACAAATATATAGAGAGAGAACAAGATTTAAGTCTTCGTAAGACAAATCTTGAAGTCGACTTTCTGTTCCTATCTTTTATTGTTTGAATGTGTTCTGCACTGTTCTCAAGTGTTATGATGGAAATTGCATATGAACAGCAGTCTTGCAGTAATGCAACTAATATTTATCTATAATTCATATTCTGAAACAGAGTAATGACGTTGACTGATATGTTTGAAGATGTGCTCAAGTTCTGGTTAAGAATCATAACACTTTAGAGGAGAAACTAACCAAGAAACTCTCTTAAACAAGATCAAGATCTTACTAAGAACTAGAACAATACTTGAGCACACTTAACCAAGTTTGTAAAAAGGAGAAACCAAAAAAGAAAAGAAAAACACATTTCGCAAATTCCGGAGAGAAAAAGATGTTGTCTTCGGTTGCAGTATGGAGTTTTTGGCAGTTACTTAACAAAATGTGTGGCAGTTCGTGACATGAGCTCACTAAACCACATCCCAAACACAAAGAATCCAAGACAAATACTGTAGTTGTGGGTCCTTCTTTTGTACCTCTCCACCCCTTTGGCCGCAAGTTGCAGCAGTAGGCACAAAGTTCGATACTTGTTAACTTCGAGAACAATAATTTGCATTTAAAGCACATCTGGATTGGATTCTGCGGCAAGCTTGTCACTTGTTCGTGTGGACATCAAATCACCAACAAAAACGAATCTTGAGACGAGCAAAGAGGCGACGAAGTTCCAATGATAGAGCAAAAGACGAACACAAAGATGATGATGTATAGTGGGAATGAATTTACATATTGAGATATAAAAAATTGGGCACAGATCACAGAGTGGAAAGTACAATGGACATCACACACACAAGAGTTATAGAAAGAGAAAAAGAATCTATCTTAACAGTTTTGATTTTAGTGAGACGACAGAGACATAACAAAGACCACACTATGAGACACTATCCATATCCATAACGAACAGCTTCTCTGTTTCACTTTTCTCAGTATGTAATATTTTCATAAATATTTGTATGATACGTACCTGTCCTTGTGACGTATACAACTCTGAAGAGCGTAGCACATGGACCATAATGATGATAATGATAAGAACAAGAACTTAAGATGAAGTCAGAGAAGAAGAAGACATAGACGGATAAAGTCTTTATTGAAAAGAGTTTTTGAGATCATTACATGTATACACACAAATGGACAGATCTTACAGGACACAGTTATAACAGAATACCAGAATTATAAAAGACTTCACTAACCATTAACCAAAAGAACTCTAAACCTCTAAACCCTGACAGACTTTCTCTTATAGTTTAGTACTACTACTACTAAAGTGATCTGTATAGATCTGAAAAGGATTGGTATCAGTTATGTTGTTACACAAACCCTTTTCAGCCACTTATGTTACAGACACCAATATAAAAAAACGCTACATGGGTTTTTTATCCTAAGTTCTTTACATGTTGGGAAAGTTACCGATAATTAGCAGAGAATAATGTTTATAATAGTCTGTATTAACTATTAACCCCCCACCCTTTTTCGTTGTTTTCTAATCATCTACCTTCTTCCATTCATACCGTCCTGGTAGTGGTTGTTCGCTCACAGGATCAAAGTTGTACCTAAAACAAGAGTTAGCAGAAACCGTTAGGGACACAGAAGAAGAGAACATAAAGGGTTTAGCCATTGCAGAACAGAGCAGATCAAATGGGAAGCGCATACTTCTCAATGAATTGCTTTTGCTGTTCTTCTTCAGGACCCGAGAAAAACTCGTCCATCTCAGGTGTAGTTGGTAGGTGACGATGGCTCCTGGAAAAACTCTCTTCTCTTTGGTTACTGTTGTCACTTATACCGTTGCTAAACTTCGTAGATGACCCCGGGCTTGTGATGGATTCCGGCTTTCTTATCAAACTGCATGGTGTGGATTCCCTTGTGGTCCTGTTGAAGCTGAAAGCAAATAATATGTTATTTACTTCCATTTCATTTCATTTCACAAGGATAAAAGCAATTAACTACATTTCCTCAATTAGTAGCAAAAGCCAACGTACTTTATTGCCTCTAGTTATAACTAAAGCTGATCTCTACTGAAAAGGGATAATGAGTAACTTGTTGATTTGTGGTTCAAAAGATCAAAAAGGCTTAAACCAAAGACGTAACTCGCAATGGGATATTTACTTCAAAACCGCTTGGAAAGTGTATACCAATACAGAGTAAAACCTGGTAGTTCAGATAATATCCAACAAGATGTCGACTTTAGATCAAAACTACCAAAAGCGAGTACCTTTAAGACCAAAGAAACCAAGCATTTCTAAATTCACTCAAAAAAAAAAGGTATGCTCAATCAGAAAACTAAGCTTTCAAGAGTGCATCTCAGACACAATATAACACTCTTTCCATCAAAGTAGACACAATGAACAAAAAGTAATCGACACTATCACCTAAGGTGAATTATTCACCTTCTTAGCTGCACAAGTAACTGAAGAAGAAACCAAAAAAACTTTCTCAAGAAATTGATTAAGGGCTTATTTGTTGATTAATATTTTTTTTTTTGCCAGAAACAGAGAGAAGAAGAGTCTGTTGTGTCAGATAAAAGCATAGATGGCATCATATCATACACAGAGGTGAATTAAAGTAAAAACATTAAATATAAACGCGAGAAAATAATTGAAAACACTCAGTATCATAAATTCAAGAAATAAAAAAAACAATACCTTTCACTACCATCAAGCTCTTTGCAGATTCCACCGTTAAAGTCCTTGTCTTTACCAAACACAACACTCTCCGCAACCGAATCCGACCCATCACCAACAGACCCACGAATCGAATCAACATTTTGGGGATTAGGGTTAGGGTTTCGACCCTCTTTCCTCCGCTGCTGCTTTCTCCTTTTACCTGAGCGAATCACGACAACTGGAGGCTTCTTATGGAGCCGACGGCTCCGTAGCTGAAGATACGATCCGCCGGAACAAGCTGTCATCTTCTGTTTCGACGGCGGAGGGTTAGGAGAGGGGGAAGGAGAAGAGGAGGGTTTTTGAAGGCGGCGTTGGAGAGCTAAGGATTTAGCTCGAGTGAGAACGCCTAGTGAAGAAGGAGAGACATCCATCAAAGCTATTGTAGCTTCTCCGTCGAGTTTGTTCTTCTTCTTTATGTATTTTCCCATTTTCCGACGCGTTTCATGGAATACTCAGAGAGAGAGAGAGAGAGAAGGTTTGATTGGGGCTGAAGATGGTGCGTGTGGGGTCTTTCTCTGTCTCTTTCGTTTTTATTTATTTAATCTTTTTTTGACAAATTTTTTTTTTTTTAACACACTTTTCTTATTAGGGAAATTGGGGCCTTCATTTATGCAAGTCTGGGCATTAGGCTCTGATACCATTTAAACTCAATATTAGGCGATTGTCCATGATGAAACTGATCCATTTTATGACCAGATTACCCTTCCTTTTACATGCATGTGACTTTCTCTCCTACGCACTCTCTCTGTACTGACACACTCTCTCTCCCCACAACCTCTCTTTCTCTTTCCTTCGATTCCTCTTCTTTCTCATTCTCAATCTCTTTTATCATCTTAATATCTTCTTTTTTTGTGTAAAATTTTATTGTTGCGAAAAATTTATTACTATTTTACTACTATTCTTATGAATCTAAATTATTTTTTAATTTCACCACATTCTGAAAAAATCAGCATTGAAGTTTTTTTTAAAATCGCCGAGATGTTAACACTTATGTTAGTTGTTAACAAATAATATAGATGTCAACAAAAGTGTTAATTGTTAACAAATACATGTATCAGATGTAATAACAGAGATATTAACTGTTAACAAATTTTGTAAATGATAATAGATGTGTTAACATAAGCAGTAATTGTTAACAACTTTTGTAGCTGTTAACATTTGTGTTAGCTGTTAAAAAAATATGTACTATAGGTGTAAACAGATGTGTTAACTGTTAATAAATTCGTAGATGTCAATACATTGTTATGTATTACAAGTAAAAAATTTTATATTGTTGAAGTTTTAATTTCTCTATCGAACTGAGTGAATTTTAAAAGAAATGAAGTGGAAATAAAAAAAGAGTGTGTTATCGTTGAGAAAAAAATGAAGAAAAAAAACATTTGAGAGAGTAAAATGAATGTTAACGAATGAAAGAAAAAGAGTGAGAGAGAGTGTCAGAAAAAGAAAAAGAAATCTGTGAGAAGGGAAAGAGAAATTCAATGCTCTACAAGGTTATTTTGGCAAACCAAGCTTTAATTGTATGCTTTTGACTTATAATGTCAAATCATGGGCAAAGCTCTAATATTGACTTCAAATAAGGGTATTTCACTAAATCTCTCCAGAAAAAAAGATAATTGGGCCAGTAGCTACAAACCCTGACGGAAAGCCTCACCCTGTTACTTTTATATATTATTACAATATTCTCCCCCAATTCAACCGCTTTCATCGGCTGAAATTTTTTAAAATTTTATTTGTTAAATTATTCAATTGTTTACAACCCGTAAATCGTGTCTTAACCCTCTCCACCAATTGTTTCACGATTCCCACTTAATTCTCTTCACTCGAACCGTCTCCGACATCGACAACACGACCACTTCATCCCTACAAACCTTTCATTTTCTTCTCCACCAAAATCAGAGGAACTCTGTCCGTCGTCGTACTCGGCCCACCCCACAGGTCTCGAAGAAAAGCACAACTTACTCACTCCCAACCGTCTTCTTCTCTGCCAAATTCATCGTCTCCGTCGGCGTGCTCATCTTCTCTGCCAGTACTTCAATTGAAGCTTCCTCTGTGTCAAGTCCGCATCCCCAAAATGTTAGTTATCTCCCCTTTTGTTCGGAATCCTCTTATTGTCAATTGTTTTCCTAGTTTGTAGTCCGAATTAATGTGTTCTCCTTTTCTTAAATCTAAATTCATCCTCCTGAATTTGCGGCTCTGTTACTCATCATGTCGTCTAAATTTAAAACGAAAAAAACCTTTGGATTCAAGATTTAGTATCATGTTTGTCCTTCTTCCATGTCTAGCCAACTGCATGTAAATTCTATAGTTGTCATAACTAGATCCATACGGTTTTGGTCCATTCCAAGTACAATGGAATAGAAATTCCAGAATTGGGATGTTTCCTATGTTCTTTATGGTTTCCTCTAGACTTGCGCATTCCATTCCATTTGATGTGGAGTTTACATGAAAAGCTGGGGTTTCTATTGCGTTTTCTGGTTTAGATTTTGGTTTAGGGTTAACTTATTTGTGATTAGGGTATAGTGTTAAGTGGGTCTGTTGGGTTTAGGGTTAACTTATTGGAGATTAGGATATAATATCGAAATAAATATATATTCCATTCCATGTACATAGAATGGAATTCCTGTCTATACCATTCTGGATGGATTGGAATGAAGCTATATGTTACATAGAAGGGATTGTATATATATTGGAGATTGGGGTCTACTATCCAAATAATATGTTAATTTAACTACTAAGTACTATCTTATATATTTTCCCATTGCATGTGATGTAACGTTATATGTTCTTTTAGGGTTCATATTTGGTTATAGGGTTTACATACTGCTATGGGGTTCACTTATTTGAGATTACGGTTTACTATTTACTCTTTCTGGTCGTATACACATTACCATATCTTATTGGTCATCTTACTATTCTGTTTACCGGTTATTTTCTATGTTGTTTACTATTTTTTCTTCAGTTGCGCTTTGTTCCATTCCATGTTATGTAGCGTTTTTAAGTTCATATGTTTAGGTTGGAGTTTATATTTCCGTTCTCTGGTTTAGCTTTTGGTTCAGGGTTAACTTATTAGAGCTTAGGGTATAGTGTGTAGTGGTTCTGTTGGGTTTAGGGTTAACTTATTCAAGATTAGGGTTTAGTTTCCCAATGTATATGTACTCCATTCCATGTTCATAGAATGGAATGTATGACTAAACCATTTCGGAATGGATTGGAATGGAGTTATATGTTACATAGATTGGAATGTATATCTATTGGAAATTAGGGGTTACTGTCCACATAATTTGTTAATTTAACTACTAACTACTATGCTATATATTTTCCCATTCCATGTGATGTAGAGTTATATGTGCTTTTACGGTTCATATTTTGGATTTAGGGTTGATATTTGGTTTTAGTGTTTACATATTGCTTTGGGGATCACTTATTTGAGGTTAGGGTTAGTATTTAGTCGTTGTGGTGGGATAAACATTACCATCTGTTATTGGTCATCTTATTATTATGTCTCCCGGTTGTTTTCAATGCTGTTTACGGTTTTCTTTTGAGTTGCGCTTTCTTCCATTCCATGTGAAAAAGGCTGGGGTTTATAATTGCGTTTTCTGGTTTAGCTTTTGGTTCAGGGTTAACTTATTAGAGATTAGGGTATAGTTTTAAGTGGTTCTGTTAGGTTTAGAGTTAACTTATCCGAGATTAGGGTTTAGTATCCAAATGTATTTCTATTTCATTCCATGTACATTTAATGGAATGTATGTGTACACCTTTTTCGATGGATTGGCATGGACTTATATGTTACATAGATTGGAATGTATATCTATTGGAGATTAACATATTGGTATCCAAATAATTTGTTAATTTCACTAATAAGTACTATGTTATATATTTTTCCTGTTCATCGATTCCATTCCACGAACATAGAATGGAATTTAGGTATATTCCATTTGGGAAATTGGAACTGAGTAATATATATATGTTCATCTTATTAAACTGGTACATATATACATAGATAGTGTTTCAGACCACATTTTGTGTGCATTATTTTCTTTTATGTGAACTCGATTGAATATAACACTTTATGATTCAGTTTACAAAACATTTTATGATTCAGACATGTAAAAATAACGTATCTCAGAGTATCATTAGTTGCGTTTTGTTCCGTTCCAGCCTGCTTCACTTTACCCCCATGGTTAATTTTATTACATCATTGTATATTTAGTCTCTATTAATGTGTTCTCCTGGTTTTTTGTTTAGGTCTGACATGGATGAGTTGGGCCTTCCAAGTAGATTGTTCGCGACAGGGTTTGAACCCACTGGAAAGAAAAGAGTTAACAACTACTTTAACCTCCGCTGGATCGAGACAATAAAGTGTGCATTAGAGGATGAAGACCTTGAACTGTTGAATGCTTCTCAGTTTGGGCAAGTCATGCGAATGGGGTGCCATACTTTTTCCTGTTACGTTTCTGCATTATCTTCTAGCACGTCAATTGGTGATAGAGAAAGACTTTGAGCTGTTGTGGCTGTTTGTAGGGAAACCCATTCGCTATGCTATTCAAGACTTTGCGTTTGTTACTGGTCTCAATTGTGGGGAAATAATTGAGGCAGACAAGAAAGGGAAGGGTAAGGGTGTAAGAGGGAAGTATAGCGGAAAAGGGCAGTCATCGACTTCATCTACGTCCATTTGGGATGTTCTTTTTCGTGGGGAGGACAAGCCCACAACGAGCTGGGTAATAGATCGGCTTGTCAAGGGGAAAAAATACAAGGACCCTCTAACACGTCTCCGTTTGGCATTGTTGGTTCTCGTGGAGGGTATTTTGTGTCCCACTTGTGGCACAACAAATATCCGACCTGAAGTTGTCCGTATGCTTGGTAATCTGGATGAGTTCCTGGACTATCCTTGGGGCCGTGAGTCATTTCTCCTCACAGTTAAAAGTACAAAATCTCGGTCTCCAAGTAATTATGTCTTACAGAACACAATGGCAGTCCAAGGATTTGCACATGCAATGGTTCTTGTTACTCTTGCTGCGTGTCCTACGATACTGGTTAATCCTGGTTCTGTTGCCCCCGGGTTTGATGAATCTACAAGCAGTGAAGATATTGTGCGTGAGTTGATTGATAGGAAGTTGACGGTAAACTTCGTCTCAGCCAAAGTGGTGGACGAAAATGGACAGGTAAAATTGTGTTGATGTTGTCTATCTTTTGGCTGAGCAGTTTATGTTGGTGTACCTCTATTCAATAATTCACATAACTCGTATGTTCTTTCTTTGCTGGCATATGTTTGTTCATTGATCTGTTCAGATGAACGTGGTGAGGAATTGTATCGCAGTTTGAAAGACAACGAAGATGAATCCGTTGATCAGCTGATGTCACTAATTGGTGATGAGTACGAGCTTGAGCATAACACATGGTCTGGCGGGGTTAAAGAAGATTTTGTGAAGGTGAGGAAGGGTCATCCAGGTCTGGGAGAATCCAGTGACGGTAACGATTCTTCTAATATGGATAAGGAAGATGG